TAAAACCTCATTTCTGTTTCTAAGTTATACAACAAGCAAAGGAAACAGAAACTATATTATTCACTTAGGGTTTCAGATCAGCCTTAAAAAAATTTCTTTTTCAGATTGGTTGGTGGTGAAATCTCAGACTTGTTTAGTTGAAAATTAGTGCTTGCTTGTTCAAAGCCTGTCCTTTCTCCAGAGGCTTTCGTTTCTTGTTCCCACCTACCACCTGCCATGGGTGTCATGTACTACTTCCTGGTACCTCTACTTGAGTCTATAGGAGGAAGAAGCAGATCAGAGATTAAAATGAGAGCTTTTTATTTGCTACTTGCCTCTATCATATAACAGTTATTTATGGTTTTGCAGGGGTGGACATGTGAGTTATGATGTTATTTGTTCCTATGCTTTATTCATAATCTCTTTATTCCAAGCAGCCACCAATACTGGTTATGTTGCTGTCCAGTGAACAAGATAAAATATGGAATAATCTCTTTTTCTGAATGAGGACACATGTTCCTACAATCTGCTTTGTGACTTAATCAGTGTGTCATTATTAATGAAGCAGAAGATATCATGAATCAGTCAGAAAGAGGAGGCTGGTAATATGCATCTCATTTCCCAACTGAGCATTCAGCTGTAGATAACATTCCTGCCAAGGCACTTTAGTGTCTTATGGGATTTCATATTGAGAGGACATTTGCAGACTCACACAAGGGCTTGTAAATTCTGACCTATGAACCAAGTAGACAATGAAAGTAGATTTCGTACATTCCTTGGACCACTGGCCTACCAGGTTACAGTGCAGGATTCATTGATCCGTGATGTGGGTTCCATTGGCATTTGCTTCCTTCCTGCTTCTCAGTAATCAACTTCTTGGTGGCCCAGCCTCTTGCAAGGAGGTTGAGATTAAGAAAAGTTTGCTGATACTGCCTCACCGTAACTGAAAAACCACTCAAGTTCCTTCTAAGGGTGGAACATTAGCATTCTAAGAAAGGATGAGCCCCAAACCTTGTTGCCATAGTACCATCTGTCAGAATTCAGAAGCATTTAAAGAGTGAGAGAAATAGATGAAAGAAATCAAGGAGCTCCCTTCCCAACTAAAGAATCAGTGGCCATGGGGGGGAGGGGGAGACAAGGACAACATACGTAACCTAAACATCTGTACCCCCATAATATGCTGAAATAAAAAAAAAAGAAAAAAAAGAAAGAATCAGTGGACATTCTAATAGCAGGAAAATTTACTGTTGAGGGATTTAAGAACTTAAGGAAGAAATGAGCTGAATGGCCAAGGTCAGGTATGAGCTATGAAAGCTTTTATAGAAATGTCTTCATTCAGTAAAATAATGACAACATTAGGGAATATAATGGCACGTTTCACATTAAAATTACTATTAATGGGCCTAGTATGTTTGATTTTCATTTGCAATTCAAACGCAGTAGTAGATGTTGAAGCCTTCTCTCCACAGTTAAAAAAAAAAAAGTTGTGAATTTGTTTTGCTTTTTTGTTGCAGATAGTATGAAAACTAAGAGACTATTTTTTCTCTCTCTGGTTCTCCTTGCCAAAGAGCAGTATCTTTCCAATTTAACAGCATGATAGAGCAATTTAGGTGGTTAGGATGAAGGAAAAAAGGAAAAGAAGAAAAGCTATGTGGAAGCTTCTGAAACCAACTCTCTATCGATGAGAAAGTATTTCTTTTTCAGTCTACAGGGCTAAAAAGCCCTACCTCTGTTCATGATAACTGTGCCATATCCTTCTTGCCTACACTTGACTTCCTCCACTCTGACAGAGGTAGATACAATTCTAAGGTTTGAGTTGGCTGACCTTCAACCTTCTTTATCTCTGTAAAGATTTTATTGTTATGACCTCCATTCTTTCATGTCTGATTTACTTCCTTTTTATTTTCCTAACCTCTATAACTCTGGTCTTTAAAAAAATAAAAACTCCCATTGGAGATGATGAGAAGTTCTTTTTATTGTCTAAAGGGTGTAAAAATTTTATGTAGAAGGGAACTCAAAATTGCATAAGACTGTCCCTCTCAATTACCTTTGAACGCTCTTCTAGTTGCTGGAATAAGAAAATGGGGTCAATCAACTTTTTCTATCCAAAAGTTGTATCCATGCATTTTTTTCTGAGGAGAGAATGCTTATAATGCATCAGATTTCCAGGGAAAGTTGTGACCCAAGAAAGGGTAAAGCAGTGCTTGAGTAACCTAGTGTGAGTTTTGGGATCTGCTTTATGGCAACCATCAAAACACTGTGCCAGATTAAATTCCATAACACATTAGGCATTTAGTCTTCCAGCCCAAGAAAGCATTAAGTGCTTGAGGAAGTACCTGAGAAAACTTACGGTTCTGTGTGAGGAGCACTGGGAGTCAAAATGCATGGCTTCTGGTGAGGTTTTGCTACTAACTTGATGGATGAAGTGGGTAAGTGATCTTACCTCCCTGGGCCACTGTTTCCACATCTCTAAAGTTAGGGAGTTGGACTAACTCAGTGGTTTCAAATCTGACTCAGCAACTTGACAAAACTCACCTGGTAGTAAACCAGGGAGCTGAGAACACAGACCAGACTCATACTTCGAAGGACATCTGTGACCTTGAGGTTTTCAGGCTTCCTGAATCCCATTGTGATGTTCTTTCTTTAATCTACACTATAATCAGTTCTTTGTAAAATTCTAAATCACTGGGCCCTATCCACCACCATTTGAAAGAGAATCGCTGGAATCTGATTTTTTAAAGAAAGCTTCTCAAGACATTCTATTAACTGCTAGGTAGAGAAATCACTGTAGCAGACACTCTAGGGTCACTTCTACTTTTAAAATACTAAGTTGCCCTTAAACTAACATCTCCTTCATTTAGCAGAATCTGGATCAGCATGAAGTGCTAATCCTCAGAATGAATATTATCATAGTACTCTTTTTAAACATTAGTGATTACCACTATATGTAAATGAAATTATTTATTCAAAGGGGCTACCACAGTGCTGGGAAATTACTAATCATATATATATGAAGTATACTTGATTCTGCTTGACTCTTGACCATCAGCAAGTTTGGTAAAACATTAGGTAGGGTTACCTTGGGTAATCAAAGGCATCAGAAAATAGGAAGAAGAAAAATATATTGCATGCCAATCACTTTTAAATATATTATTGCACTTAATCCCTGTAACGGCCTGTGTTCATTTTCTCACTTAGTCAGTCACTACCTTGTAACCTTGAGCAAGTCACCTAATTCTGTCTAAGTCTTTTGTTTCTTCTTTTGCAAAATGGAGATTAAAAATACCTACCTCATAGGATCACAATGAGAATTAATGGACATGATGCCTGGGAAACACTTAATGGAGTGCTTATCAGGTCAGCAGTGTTGGTATAAAATAGGAGCTCACTAGAAATTTGGACTCTCGGGATCCACCTCAAATTTCCCAAATTAAAATCTACATTTTAACAAGATCCCTAAGTGATCCATGTGCACATATATATTTGAGAAGCACTAATAAAGAAAAATAACCCTGAGACTCAGCAACTTGACAAAACTCACCTGGTAGTAAACCAGGGAGCTGAGAACACAGACCAGACTCATACTTCAAAGGACATCTGTGACTTTGAGGTTTTCAGGCTTCCTGAATCCCATTGTGATGTTCTTTCTTTAATCCACACTATAATTGAAAGGCTTTTTAAAAACACATTTTCATGTCTACCACAGTAGCAAGAGCATCATAATTTTGTTTTATTTTTCACATTTTTAATTATTCAGCTGTTTTATTTGTCACCGTTTAGGGAATTATGACAAAACTTATGTCTAAAATGCTTCTGATTAATGCATATTTAGACAACTAAGCAGATGTAGAATGGGTTGACTGCTTTGATAAAATTAAACATTGATGAAACATATATTTGCACAGCAATAATGATGCCGGCATTTGTATAAATAATAACAGATCTATTTCCCTAATCATCTAGGGAAAAAAAAAAACAAGATGAGAGGATGAGAGAATTACCAAATATGTCTGGCTTACTAGGCAGATCATTTTCAAGTGCAAATTTCTTTTATGTGAATAAAATTATGTTAATTTGTAGCATCTATTACCACATTAAAATGAAAGAAATGCGTTTGAGCAAAAAACAATGTGGATGATACCAGAAGTGTGTTTCCAGGACATGTCAAAATTTTCAGAGCTTGTTTGTACATCATGGAAGGTACATGCTTTTAATATACCCCTCCATAGTACCATAGTTCGATTTTATACAAAATGTATCCTGAGATCCAAGCTTAAGTGATTTAAGATATACATTTTTTTCCCACATTTTAGCTTCTCTGAAATTGAGATCTATCTTACAATTGGCATGTCACAATTTGATTGATAGCATTTTTTTTTCTTTTTTTGCAATCAATGGGATCTTAGATTCCATTAAATAAGGGATTATGATTTCTGATAAACTTAATCTTGTCCACAAGGAATACCACAGTGAATATAGTATAAAAAAATAGGCAGGAAGGAGATGTCACCGTTACCAACATTCATGGATAAAAAGGGGGCAGATAAATAGAAAGTAATGAGATTAAATAAGAAAAGATTTAATGGATTTCTATTCACACAGCCAGAGAGAAAAATCAGGAAGAATAACAGAATCTAGCAGAAGAATAGACGAAAGCAAAAAGAGACAGAATAAAGTATGAAGATGGAAAATGTAGCCAATAAGCCCAATATTGTGACCATTATTTCCTAGGTGTGTTGTCCTGTGGTAGACATTTAATTTGCTGCTTGTTTTTTCATTACACACACAGGCCAGCCTAGAGGGTGGGTAAGATTTGGGAGGTGTTTTAAGGATCTTTTCGAAGGTATTTTCTCTTCTCTAACCTGCACAGGTAGATCCATATCCCTTCCCATACTCCCTTGCTCCCTCCCACACACATTCTCTGTCCATTCTTCTCTTTCCACAGCCTCCCACATTTCACTCCGTCCCAAACCACCAGGGGAGGTCTATACGATTGTTAAAATTTCTGTTTGTTCTTTCAGGTGATAACAAGATTATCGAACAAATCTACAGTCTCACAGGTATGGTGTTTGCTAAAGAGCAAAATATTTACCTAAAATCTGGATGATTTCCAATAAATCTTTCTTTTTCTTCAGAATTTGATGTATTTATTATTTACTTTCCCTAATTCACTTCCCGATGAGAGATGTGGCAACTGACTTTCTTGAGTTTGGGTAGAGAGAAATATTGAAACTCATATCTCTGTGTATGTGTTTTATAGCTATTGTTATAAAGCAATTTATAACAATGCCAAAACCTGCCAAAAGCAGCAGAGTCCTAAGGTATTGATTTTAAAAGTACTTTCAGTGTGTTTAAAACTGGTGGTCAGTTTTTTCTTATAAGCGTCCAATTTCTTGTTATGTATCCATAATGTTAAAAATACAAGGTTCAGAGATAGTCTGGACTTAGTTTCACTTGAGCTCTTTCTTAAGACAGTTCCAACTTCTAAGTACTCTCCCACTTCACAGAAAACTTTCCCAAAGAAACAGTGATTTGTCAGATTTATCAGTTAGACTTTTATTACTAATAATCCTCTAACAATGAGGCACACAAAGAGATCCAATCACATAACACATTATAACTCATTGGTAATCTACTAAAGATGGTGGAAGAGGGGCAAACTGTGTCTGCTTTTAATATAACATGAAGATACTTCTTAAGAACTCTTAAATGTCTCAGTGCATTCAACCAAGTTTCTCTGTGGTACAAGTTGTCTTTTCTCTCTCTTCTCTATAAAATCCTCCTCAGTAACAAGCAAAGTAGTCTTTATGGTTCAACTTTTCTTCTCAGACAGCCTTCCTCACTACTCCATTGACTTCCTCCCGCCCTAAGATCTTTCTATATTCCCTTTCTCATGAAAAGAAATTTAGCCTTTTTTTATTTTCCAATTTGAATTCCTCACTCCTTCATAGCACTGTGAAGATGAAGATGCCTCCCTAAAATACATCCTTAACTTTCAGAAAAAATCCTTCTTTCTAATTTAGGCTGAAGTGTATTTGTAATTTTAAAACCAACAAAATAACAGAGATTTCAAAACAACAGATGTTTATTTCTCTCTCATGGGCAAGTCCAGAAATGGAAAATATAGCAGCTCCAGTGTGTCAATAGGCTCCCGGGATTTCTTCTTTTTGATTCATCATCCTCAGCATGTGACTTCCTTCCCCAAGATCTCCTCATTCTCCAGGGTGGTTGCTGAACATTCATCCATTTTATCCATATTCCAGAATAGAAACCACAGAAATGTGAAAGACTGAATAGAGGTCCCCCCTTTCTAGGAATCTTCCTAAAAGTTCCTTAAAACCTGTCCACTTATATGCCATCATCCCAGAATTTAGCCTCATGGCCAAACCAAGTGGCAAGAGAAGCTGAGAAAGGTTGTCTTTGGGCAGAGTGCATTACTAAGAATGCTGTTAACTAAGAAAGAAGGAAATATTGCATAAAAAGAGGTAACCAGCATTCTCTGTAGCACCTTCTGCAATATAAATGTTTCTATTTTCTTTATGGCGATCATCATTGCCTGGACAGGTATTTGTTAAACTCTTTCTTTGCACATTGCTAAGTGCTTAATTTCTATTATCTAATATGTAATATTTCCCTCACACCATTCCTAATTAACAGGTGAGGAAACCAAGACTTTTATAGCTATATTACTTGACCAAGGTTACAGCTAGTAAGTCACAAGGCTTCTAAAACTTACTCATGCATTCAACCACTGGACTCTGTTCTACTTTAAGACAGGCTGGACAGAATCTAGTCATCTATGAGTTTAAAGTGGCCATTCCAGCAAAATGTCATGAGCCAAATTCCAGATTCATTTAACTATGAGTATAAAAACCTCCTGCCCTCATTGCCAGGAAGAGAATGAACGGATGGATCAGTTGAGAAGAAAGAGCTCTGTGGTTGGACTTTATGGCATATTATAACAGGTGAATCCAGCTACACAAGGGAAGCAAGTGGCCTAAAGAAAATTACTGGCATTCCTGCACAGAGGCTAATGTGAGTCTGGGTGTTTGATAACATAAATTTAGGTCCTGTCTTCAATGATGGAAGAAGGGATAATTAATTATTGGTACAAGTAACGTCTGCTGCTTTGATTGTGAGAGTCAGTCTCTAAGCAACTTATCCAAGGCACCAAGTCTCCATGACAAAATGGAAGTATGAAAGTTAGACAGACTTGTAGAAGTACAAATACTTGATAGGGTATTAGTCAGAGGATTCTATTAGTGCCAATGGAGCCTTGGTGAAACAAAGGAATGGTTAACTTGCCAATGCAAATGTGAAGCAAATTCTAATTAGAGAATGTACTCACTGATTTTCATTTCTCTGATAAGCTTGCCCTGTTGTGTCTTTAGCTGGGTAAACTAATTTTTCTATTCCACAATGCTAGTATACAAATGTTCCCTGGAAATTCCATGTGGGCCCAGCTTTTTTTAAAAGCACAGAGTTTTAGATGCTGTGAAAAACAAAAACAAGCAAGTAAAAACAACACCATGACTATCCCAATAAAGAACTTATGGCCTCATCATTAATTAAAATAACCATATGTAGTTTGAAAGATGAGTCTAGGAATACCTTTTAAATTTTGAGCCATTAAGGTTAAAATAAAAAATAAAAAAACCTTATTAGTGAACCAACCATTTCACTTAGCAGATATGACCTAAACCAAATGGGCTATTACCTGTAAGTCACCACAATTTTTGGTTAGATTTTTTATTATACTTGTAATAGAGATTTAAAAATCCATCTATGCCAATGAACCAAATGTTTATCAAAGTCATAACCATGACAGCTCATGAGATTTAAATTGTAATCTTAGGGATTTTCAGGGATTTTTGCCTAATTTTTATTAGAAATTATTGATAAGTGGGTATAAGTAACCATACCATCAAAAGAAACTGAGACACAGAAAAATGAATTGACCTTTTGGACCAGAGCAGCCATGTGTGGGGCAGAGCGAGAGGTGCACACCATTATAGTTACCCTATTCGGAGGCACTCACTTGGCCTCTGTTGCTCTCTCTGCCCTGCTCCTCCATCGTCACCTTGGCTGTCCTTTCCCACCCTCCTTCTTCTTCTCAGCCTACAAGGTTGAATGACCTTAGTCAAGAGTCTAGTTGGTCTAGGGTTTTGGTAAGACTCTTTTTCCCTCCTTTGCTAAAGTTTTTCAAAGGAAGTAGACCAGGTGGTCTGCATCATTTCTTGTTCGTGACTTGTGCAAACAAGGAGAGCAGAAAGTAGAGTAGCTCAGGATACTTCTGATAGTCTTCTATTCATGTGATCCAGAAAGGAAAGAATTTTATTCTTAAGGGTAATGTAATTCTGCTGGTTGATGTCCATGTAAAGTTCCATTAATGGCTCTGTCATTTTAAATAACAAGGCCCCAAACTCTCCATACGTCTCTATTCCTAAGAGCAGGTCATTATTCTACTATCACAAGGTATAGGCTGATTAAGATCTACTATAGTATACACAAGGAGTGCAATGCGCACTACCCGAAGGATGGACATATTTGAAACACGGACTTCGGTGGGGGGGGAAGCAAGGGCAACACAC